GCTGCTGGCAGGGACTAGGGTGAATCCAAACTAAAAAGACTGAAGTTGTTCTGTGGAAAGCTGTGGGAGTAACTCTTTAGAAGCCATGTAAGGAACATAGTTCAGTTTTGGTAGCTTTGGCATTGTTTGCACTCAGCTCGTCACAATTAGTTACAGTATAATGCCCAATGTGCTGTGTGTTGGTATAGTGCTGGGCACTAGACAAACACACAATAAGAGAGAGTCCATCACCTGAGGACCTCCCAAGATAAACTGGGTTAAGACATATCCATGGTTGGATGGAGGCCCAACTCCCCCATCCACCCACACACCTATGAGCTGCAGGAAGTGCTATTGCTGGTTTTATCAAACGGTGTTTGCTCATGTGCTTATGCAGCACTCAGTATAATGAGGCCTTGATTGTGTTTGGGGCATCTGGATTCTATTGCAATAATATTAATAAGTGGGTGGGTCTTATGAGCACCAACCCAGAACTCAAAAGTGTTTGTTTTCTGGGGCAGAGGATGCTAGGGAAGGACACCAATAGTAGCCTAACTCCCCTTCACCCCAAAAAACCCCCATATAGTCAGGAGTATGCAGGAAGTTTAATTGTTAAAAGGAATGCCTTCAAAAAGGGTGTAAATTCAGCCCCTGTCTTCTGTGCCTGTGTGTATACACACTATGGAAGGAGGAGGGGAAATGCTATTTCTTTACAATGAACTTGTAATGTTTCACATTATTTATTTATTTGGTTTTTGAAAGGTTGTAATGATTATGCTGATTTATTTGTATTACATAACATCCAGAAGTCCCAGTTAAGATAATCACCCTCATTGTGTTAGGCACTGTACACAGACATAGTAAAAGGTAGACTCTGAATCTAATTAGCCTGACAGATAAAGGACAGGAAGAGAAACAAAAGCAGAGCAAACTGAAGTGACCTGCCCAAAGGCAGAGTAGCAATAGAGTCAGAAATAGAACCCATTTCTCCTGGCTCCCAGCCCAGTGTCCCATCTACTAACCTCTGCTTTCTCACCAGTGTCAAGCTTGACAATAGACATTAGAGAGGAAAAATTACAAACAAAATATGGCAATATCTGTTGTATGGTTGTAAGTATGTAGGTGGGTAAATTGCTGGTCCAGTGAAGTGCCTCCAAAAACATTCTATATCTAAAGAATGCGCTAGACACATTTTCCGAATGTTGGTTCATAACCGTTCTTCTGCCATTGCTGCACCACTGCAGCTACCAGTGAGCTACCCACTGGCAGATGTTCTAATCCCATTAGAATCTCGCTCTCGCTACTGTGAGGCCATCATGTTCAGTGCTAGTAAGGACAGAGTGGATGCTAGGCTAAGTCTTAGAGTAATGTCACAGGGACCTACCTTAGCTATCTAGTGTATCATGGGGCTTAGGCAGGTTCCATCATTCCACCATCATAAACACACCCTGGCTGTTTCCCTTTCACTGTGTGTTCGTTTCATTCCACTGTTTGTTTGCAACCAGAACATGATATAGGTCTGCTGCAGCAAGAGTGTCCCACAAAGCTTTTCTGCTTCTTACAGTGCACCTGCTAAGACCCTCCTCCTTATTCCTGTTCCTCCCAATTACTGCCAGTTGTATTCGTAGTTTAATCATTTCTACCTACATGCTCATTGTTCTTCATTAGAAAAGTGGTTAACTGCTTCTAGCTATTGCTGCAGCCTCTTCTGTGCTGTAGCAATATCAGTGATCAGGGTGCTGCAGGTAGCACTCTGTCAGAGACAATAATAAGGTTAAATGTTGGCACCCTATGTACTTGAGTAATAGACATATTTAGAGTTAGTTTCCAGTTGGGGAATTATATTGTGATGGTAGGATTCCTTAGATGGCACTGTTACATATAGTTTACAAGCTCTTTTTCTTAGCATTTGAACAATGCCTTGGTCTTTGAAGTAATGCTTCACTCTGATTAGTGTTGTAATGTAATTTGTTTTGGTTGAAGCTATTGCAAAGACCAGGAGAATTTTCACTGTGTCTTAACCCCCTTTGGAAGAGTTCCTCTCTGGGAAATGGACATCAGTTGTTTAGGCTGAGATTTCAGAGTTATTTTCTTATGTGTTGATTATGACCATTAAATAAGTTACAGTAAGAAAATATCCAGACTCCATGGCTATGTCTAGACTGCAAGCCTCTTTCGAAAGAGAGCATCTAGACTGCACGCGGAACTTTCGAAAAAGCAAGCCGCTTTTTCGAAAGAAAGCAGCAAGTGAGTCTGGATGCTCTCTTTCTAAAAAGCCCTGTTTGCTTTCAAGAACGCCTTTTTTCGAAAGAGCACTTTCGAAAAAAGGCGGTCTTCCTCATGGAATTAGGTTTACCGCCGTCGAAAGAAAAGCCGCGTTCTTTCGATTTAATTTCGAAAGAACACGGCTGCAGTCTAGACGCAGGGGAAGTTTTTTAGAAAAAAGGCTACTTTTTTCGAAAAAACCCCTGAGTCTGGACACAGCCCATGAGACTGATTTCTTGTCTAATGGGAAACTGACTCTGGAACAGAAATTACAGTGAATTGAGAATTTTGCTGCTGAATTCAATGGTAAAAGGACTGACTGATAGGTTTCTATATGTGGAAAAATTTGCTCTTACAGCTTGAGCAAAGAACCAGTGTCTTTAGCAGCGTGCTGTAACTGAATTATGGACCAGTTAGTTATATGGCTTGCTGTTAATGATATATTTCTGTGTTTCCAGTGTGACCTTTAACTTCTCCCTATCTAATCTGATTAACCTATGTAGCTAATTTATTTCATGAATTCACCTTAGTATTTGTGCTTTGTCAAACTATATTCCTCTCTCTGAAAGCTCTATGCAAAGACCCATCTGGCTAGCAGGCATGTCTATAACTTCTCTTTTTATCTTAGTGGGGTGGGCTTTCTGTTTTTGTTTTTGTTTTTGTTTTTTTGGTGGGTGAGGGGGTCACTCAATTAAGGGACCCCGTTCTTCAAAGTTAAATATCTTTAACTCCTCGAGGAACTAGTGAAGCTATGAATTTGATGGCCATCTGAACATTAAGGAATCAGATTACAAGAGAATTTGAATTGGTAGAACCTAGTGCAGTTTTCAAGTGAACATTTTATGCATAAAAATGAGATCTCCATTCTGATTGTAATGTGGTTGAATAGAGCAGAATGCCATGAACATTTTCTCCCACGGTCTGTGAGCTGCTCTGACTACTGGTGAACTTCTGGGTGGAATTCAAGGCATTCAGTTTAACCTTCAGAGCCCTCCATGTTGTAAGAACTAGTTATCTGGGTGTCCCTCTCTCCTCATGCCATAGCCCCTGGAAGTTGCTGCTTTCCCTTTCGGTGCCCAGAGGCTAGATTTGTTAATTGTCTGGTTACTCTGCAAGGCTCAACTGATTTATTTATTTTGGATGGAATCCAAAGTCTTTTGTTTGTATTATGTGGCAATGGCATGAATTTGTTCAGATCAATTTCTATCCATGTTCCCAGATCATGCACAGGCACCTTCTGGTTAGAGTATTTTTGCACCAAAGCCAAGCTAATAAAAGATAAATGCATCTCAAAAGCACCTCATAGGGCACAGCTGTCAGCCTGTGCTTAGGCCTGGGGTGTGAACAAGATTACCACAGGTCATGGCTGAAGAGCACTGGCAGGACTGAAGTGGGGAACTTTGAGAGAATTGTCTGCCTATTCCCACTAGGCCTAGTTCTATCCATGGCTCTTAATCATTTGCTTTCACTGCACCCAGATTCAATGAAATATTAATTAGGAAGCTCTGGTTTGGCCGGAGGAGGGGGAATGTAAAGCTTCACCTTTGAGAGAGGGAAAAAATTACCAACATGATGTTAGCCATGAGAACAGATTGTGGGCACGAGATACAGATTTTTCCTGTTTCTCCGTTTTTGATCTCTACTGACTTGTTTTTAAAGGAGCTAGTTCTTACAAGTTACACTAAGAAAATACTCTGACTCACTGACACTGATTTCTTGTCTAATGAGAAACTGATTTGTAAGGCCCCAATATATACTGTGGCTCTCTAGAAGGGCAACAGGATTGTTCATGGAGTGTTCCATTGGGTTTTAAGTGCTGTGCACTATCATAATCTTGGATAGCTTAGGCTGCCAAACTAGAGAAAAGAGGAGGTTGCTGTGAGCAGTGTGTATGTGTGGAAACGTTTTAGATTTGTTTCTTTTCTGTTCAGTGCAATCCAATCCAGTCAATAAGTCACTGAGTTCGGGTTTTGAACGGTGAGTAGGATAATCCTGATTATCCAAGAACCATTGGGTGAGAATTAGGTGCTGCAGCTGTGAAGGTTGTTGAGAGAAAGCATGTTTAACTATCAAACCACTCACCACTCTATCTCATGAATGAATTGTGTCTAGTTTTTACTAAGGACCATATAATTGTAGTGCCAAGCAATATCTTCCACCATTGCTCCAAAAACATGTCCGCAAAACAACGTAGTACAAGTTAAGAGTGAAGTGACTCATTGCGTCTGATCCATCTTCCACTAAGGCTACTGAGGGTGTGTCTACAGAGCATCCTTACCTTGAAATAAGCTAAGCAATTTGCGCTACCCAAATTGTGTAGCTTATTTCAAGGTAATTTTGAAATAGCTTATTTCAAAATTTGGCACACTCTACACAGATCCCCTGCCTCTAAACTGCTGCCGCATTTTTTCGAAAGTAAATCGAAAGAACACGGCAGTTTTTTCTACCGTGGAAAACTTCATTTTATGATGAACGCCTTTTTTTGAAAGTGCGCTTTCGAAAAAAGGCGCTATGTAATGCAAAATGTGCTTTTTCGAAAGAAAGCGTCCAGACTGCCTGGGTGCTCTCTTTCGAGAAAGCAAGCTGCTTTTTTGAAAGTACTGGTTGTTGTCTAGACGCTCTTTTTCGAAAGAGGCTTTTTTGAAGTATCTTTTGAAAAAGCCTTTTTCAAAAGAGGCTTGCAGTCTAGACTTACTCATTAGCATTATGAACTCGGTGCATTAGTGTTGAGCAAAGAATAAAAGAACTTTACTCACCAGAACTTTATTTTCACCCACATCGGAGATTACAACTTCACAACCAGCAAAACATGGAGAGATGTATTCAATGCCATCAACCCCACAAATAGGGTTATAGGCCTTCTCAAGGCAGTTGCATTTGTTGTTACATTCAAAAGTGTGTTGTCCAGCATCAGAGCTACAGTAGAAGGAAAGATATGACTATATTAATATATACGTTGTGGGTTTATGTACTGTACTATGTGTAGATAGATATTAGTGAACAAGAACTTGCTTGTTTAACACTGGAAGTCTGTACCTGTGGACTGTGCCAAAGCCTCAGAAAATATCATTTCCATAGATTAATTCTTGTATCTCTGAAAAAAACCCTCAAAAGTTGAAAGTCTGGCAATAAACAGTCAAAGATGCAGCCACTCGAATCATGTCCCAGTTACTACTGCCCCATGCAAGTGGAATTTAGTGGTTCAGGAGAACTAATGATATCACATTAGGAATATGTAAAAGATTCCAAATTCACAATTAATATTTGCTTCTTTAGTGTCATTACATGTGACTAGTGATAGAAATGTAGCCGTGTTAGTCTGGGGTAGCTGACTGTAATGCCAATAGGCCAACTGGAGGCACCTCTACCACATGAGTTAAAAGTGAGCTGGCTCTGAGCTAAGGCTGTTGAACAGACTCACTTGTTCTCTCTGTAAGTGGTGTCAGTGCCACTAGATGGGACAGTGCAGCACACCCAGAAGGTGTGTGGGTTACATGAGCATATTCCTGCTCTAAACTACAGTGCACCCACTTGGGGTACGTCTACACAGCAGGGCAAAAATAGAATTAAGCTATGCAACTAGCTATGTCAATTGCGCAGCTGAAGTCGAAATAGCTTAATTCGGCTTTTGGCGCTGTCTACACAGCAGGAAGTCAAAGAAAGAACACTCTTACTCCAATTTCCCTTGCTCCTTGTGAAATGAGGGTTACAGGAGTTGGAGTAAGAAGTCCTCCAGCTCAACATTATATCGAAATAATGGCTTGCAGTGTAGACACGCTCTTTGTTATTTCAAAATAATATCAGTTATTCTAAAATAATGCTGCTGTGTAGACATACCCTGCGTGGTCAACATTTTCCCCCTTTTTATTTATAGTGGGTAAGGTTCTGTTTGCATTTCAACATATAGAGAGGTGGTCATTATTTTAAAAATATTCTTTCTTAACATCTTGATACATTCTCGACCAGTGAATGATGAGTTAAGCATTTTCCAGTATAAATTTTTGATTCTGGATTATTTGTGATAAAATTCATTAAATTTGTGTGACCTTTTCATGGATAAACTTCCAGTCATCTGAAAACGAATGAATCATATGAATGAATCATTCACCGTCTTAATTCACAAACATAGTCAGTGTCACTTTCAGCATTATTCAGTGACCACCAACCACTTCACGGAAGGGAATAACTTTTCCCTTTTCCAATCTCCCAGACATGATCACACCCATTTGAAGGAGGGGTTAATTTCTGACTAAGCTTTGTGGAGTGCACCTGGAAGAGGACACTTCATAAATCACTCAATGAAAAGGGGCCAAACTTATGGTCTAAATTTACAAGTGGTACCTTCTTCTGTAGTTAAGGCCAGCAACTTTCTGCGTAGGGCAGCCCAGAAAGAGGAGGGGAAGGGCAAAGATCACACAGAGGAGCATGCCGAGGACACACATGCCGCCACACTGTTTCAGAGTCATCTGGAACTTCTTCATGATGGCTCCACCCACCACTATTCCGACCATTGCCCCAGGGATGTTCACGGAACCTTGGGGACAGAAACAAGAAAGAGTTAAGATCCAAATGTCAGTGGTAATACTTTGACACCTTCCAGTCAGAGCAGAACACAGTAAATGGATTAAATGCTAACTGACGGATCTCCAAAAATAACTGGGATTAATACTTCTCTCATCTTTCATCGGTAAAGCTCAAAGGTCTTGATGAAGGACATAAGCATCACATCTCCATTTTACAGAGTGGGGGCTCAGAAATTAAGTCACTTGCTCAGCCTCTCCCAGCAGACCCATGGCAGAGCCAAAACTAGACATTGGAGGGAATGGAAAATCATCTTCCAGTGGGGAGATTTCTACCAGCCGACTGTGTTCTTGGTCCTATGCTATTTGCTATATTTAGCCATGCCCTGGAAGAGAATATAAAATCATGGCTGGGAGAGTTTGCAGATGACATAAAAGATTGGTGGAGCGATAAATAAGGAAAATGACATGCCAGTTTTACTAAGCCATTTGGTGTTTACCTTTGCCTCCAGCTCTTCATGATCTTAATATTTCCCCCTTGAGCCCATGCCCGATTTCCTTGCTCAGTTCCTGTGCACAACACTACTATTTTACCTGTCACTAAGACCCATGACCTAGCTGTCATCTTCAACTTGTATCTTTCTCTAGGGCCTCACATTCAGGCTAAGTCTAAGTCTTGCTGACTCTTTCTGCATAATAGCTCTAAGATATTGCCTCTCCTAGCCATCTGCTCATCTAAAACTCTCTTCATCTCACGTCTTAATTACTGCAACTGCTTTTTCTCTAATCTTGACAAATGCTGGGTTCCCCTGCTTGTATCCATTCGGAAAAGTGATGCAAAGATCATTTTCCTAGTCTGTTGCTTTGACCATATTGCTTCTCTCTTTGCATCCCTCCACCTGGCTCTTCCTTCTCTATTGTATCAAACATAAGTACTTATCTTAACACTCAAGGCCCTTCACAGCCTATCTTCACCCTCCCTGTCATCTCTCATTCTGTATGGGAAAGTCGCCATCTCCATCCAATCAGCCCCATGAGGCCAGATTCCACTGCCTACTTGTTAATTAATTTTTCAAATGAGTTCCTTCATGCTTTCTCCTGCCCCACATGTTTGGGTGGCATTCTCAAAGCAACTTCTTTATTTTCCTTCAGCTCCCTCTGTAAAGCTTTCCTTTCCCATGCTGCCTACAAAAACTTGACTATGGTTATGCTCCTGATGTGCTGCCTGCCATGTTAACCCCATATTGTGTTGTTATTTCTTTGTACTTCCCTATCAGTCTGTCTTCATCCATCAGCTGTCTCTTGTCTTATGCTTAGATTGTAAGCACTTTTGGGGCAGAAACTGTCTTTTTTATCTGAATTTTAAAATAAAAAGTGTGTTGATAAAATGGAAAGGAGTGAGAAAAAATGTAAGAATGATTTTCGGTCTGGAAAACCAACCCTACAATGAGAGATTGAATTTCTTTCTTATATTTAGTTTAACAACAATTAAGAGGTTACTTGATCACTTTCTCCCAAGCTGCCTTTTGTTTTCAAATTCTCAACCGATACCTTCTCATTCATCAAAATCAAGTCCAGAATAGCCTCTCCCCTAGTAGCTTTCTCCACTTTCTGAAGTAAAAGAGCTCTAACACATTCCAAGAAGTTGTTGCATAATCCAGGCCCTTCCATATTAATATGCCCAATAGATGTCTGGGTAGTTGACATCTCCCAGTGTGACACAATGAGTGTGCACACTCACTGGCCGTATGGATCTTGCACCTTCTGCTGAATGTTCTGTTTGAAAATGCAGTAGATTGAAGTTTACTGCTGAATTTTTAGAACACAGAGGCAGGGTCCCCTGACTAGTGAGTGCCTGACATCTATAGCCCTGTGGATTTACACTCCAGCTTGTTGGGCACCAAGGGTACGTCTAGACTACAGGCTTTTGTTGACAGAGGCTTTGTCCACAGAGCGTCTAGATTGCATCCAGTTCTGTCGACAAAGCAAGCCGCTTTGTCGACATGAGAGTGTAGACGCAAAGGACAGTGTAGATGCAATAACACATTCTGCCAACAGAACTCTGTTGACAAAAGGCATTATTCCTCGTAGAATGAGGTTTATCGCCATCGACAAAACTGACGAGTTCTGTCAATGTTATGTCGACAGAACTCGGCAGTAGTGTAGACGCAGGTATAGCTTTGTCGACAAAAGTGGGCTTTTGTTGACAAAACACTGTAGTCTAGACACACCAGTGTTCACATAGAGAACCCTTAAGGCCTGAAGAAGAAGTGGGTTGTGCCCACGACATGATACCAATAGTTCTTTTGGACCTTAAAATCCATGAATCATCTGGGGAGCATCTCAGAGCGCTTAAAATATTTAAGTTACTTCTCAGTCACAACCCTTCCCAGAGGTGTAGGCTCTTGGTATATTTAACACTCTTCCCTGACATCTGTCCTGAAACATGCCCTGTGATATAATTCCTAATATAATGTCTTAAGTTCATAGGTAGGTGCTCTTGCTAGGCTATGATGGGGGAATATAATGGTGCCCTGAATGGTGCCATTATTATCTTCCTTTTGTTTCTCCACCTATGAAGAGCAAATGGATGGGACAGTCTTTTCATTCAGTGTTTGGTCACAACCTAGGACAATGGGGTGCTATGAGGATAGAAATCTTTTTATAAATATTTCTGAAAGTTTGTTTGTGTGTTTGTCCGGAAAGATCTCCGAAACGGTAAGAGCTAGAAACACCACATTTTGCACGGATACTACTGATTTCCTAACTTCAATAACTAGATTGGTTAGATCTCAAAATCCATTCCTGAGGTTCCCCCAGAGCCCCAGTTGGGCCCATTGATAATTAACTTTTAGTAGCGCCTGATCATAGGCATTTGCTGGACTCTTCTGTTAAGCGTGTCACATAAACTGCAACTACGAGATCCTAGAGGACAAAACCCTCTTACGCAAAGCCGTTATGCCTAGAGGATAAAGCATGTGGTTACCTGCAGCACCAGCAATGGAAAGCCCATGGTGGAGAGGCTGCAGTGGGGCAGAGAATCAGCAACCTCCCCTATCCTAGGGCACCAGCAGGTCTCCAGACAGACCCAAATGTGGCTGATGCTGGCTGGGGTCTAGCCTGGCTAATTCTGGCTAGGAGAAGCCTCCAGCTATCACAGTCTCTCAACAGCTTCATGCAGCCTGGCTCCAACTGAACCCCTTCTGGAAATTAAGTTGCTTCCCTCCTCTCACACCCAAACGAGCCATCCCACCACTCGCCCTCCTTTGGGCTGCATTCTCCTGGCAGGGCTGTGTGCATTATCAGCAAGTGCCACGGCCTTATGGGCTTTGCAGGATTCAGCTCACAGTACAAAGAGGAGGTGGGTAGGAGGACAAGGTTTTGAGCACCGTGGAGCTTGAGGAGGACAAGGTACACTCAGAACAGCCTATTCTCATTAGAACAGGTATATTCAGGTGCTGCATGTTCTGATCATCTAGATATCACTAATTGAACCTGGTCTGAAGGTCTTTCGCTTTTTCTGATCAATGCAACCGGTTCAGCTGCCGCTAGGAAATCCATTCAGGTTGCCCCAGGGAGTGTGCACTGAAGGCACTGGGGAAGTGGCTATTTGGGGAGCAGTGAATTACTGCTGCTGCAGAACCCAGGAGACATCCCCTCCATTTCTCAGGGCTTCTGGCAAGGGGGCTGCAGGCATTGGTTTGCATAGAGTCTTTAAGGGAAGATGGGCCTTCCTGATTTGTGAGGATTGACAAAAGAGACCCTATGGGATTTGTCGTTTTGTAAGCACATCACTAGCTATGTTAATTTCTTAAAGTAATATATAAGAGAAAAGTATTTCCAAGAAAATATGCTATGTTAATGTCATTGACGTAGTTCATTCATCAAACCTTTTACTATATTTTCCCTGGGCGACGCTGAGTATTTCTGCTAGAAAATAATAAAATATCTTTTAGTCGTAATGATTTCATTTCCATTTTACTTTAATAGGACTCCCTCCTCTCAGCATCTGAAGGTGTACTGGAGACTGTGTTGGTCTGAGTCCACAGAGAGATAAAGGTGCAGTACACAGAAACAGAGTTATAGCTCTTAAATAGCTAGGGGCATCATATATCGATTTACCAAAGGGGACATTGAGGCACAAACGGCTTATGTGACTTGCCCAGAACCACATAACTAGCTCAATGGAAGCAAAAGGAGCAGAGGTCATACTGGACTTGATGATCTCTCTAGGTCCCTTCCAGTTCTAGTATTCTAGTCTATGAGTTCAAGAGTCCAAATCCTGCAAAATAACCACTAGGAAAAACTCCCTCTGCAAAACTGTATGTTGTTCAGTCAGTGAACCCTTTATACCCTTTTGCAGACCTGTTCCTGACTGACTTTGCAAATGAGTCCCACTCATCTCCAGCGCTACCTATTTTGCTTCTGGGCAGATCTGTCTCCACGTATTTGGTTGCTGTCATTTGAATGGTGTTTTGTTTGAGTTTTGCTGTCTCCCGTGTAAAATTCAACCGAGTTTGGGATTAGCCTACCAGGAAACAAGGATTTCAATGCTCCCTAGCATTTGCAGTAAGAGCTGGAATTTCTCCGGTAGTAGCAGGCAATACTTACCTATGATCATGTTGGCAAATGATGCTGTGAGGGAGAACTGCCTCTCTAGGAATTTGCCCATAAACGTTGCTAAACCGGCAACCATGGCAGATAGATTGACTTGGGCCAAAACCACTAGCAGATAGACTGGATGCCGGAGATTCCTCAATAAAACCTTAGGAAAAACTGACATGAAAAGGAGACTTAATAACCAAAAACATATGAATATGAAGAGATGCCTGAAAAAAGGCAGCTGCCTGAATTTCCAGCTCTTGGCAGGTTAGCATGCATCCCACTAGCATTATAATACTTGTTATGATATAATACAGTGATAGGAACAGTAATATTATGAGACAACTAGCAGGGAGGTGTGTGAAACAGATTCAGGAAATTAATTCTAAGCTCCTGTACTTCCTCTTCTGATTTTCCAGGGGCAGCTACGATTTTTCTAATTATACAAGACTCAAAATAAGTGACACAACAATAAGGTCAGCCTGCGCAAAAACACAAAAATATTGAGCCAGATACCATGCCAATAAATCTTTAACAGCTCTGGCAGAAATTGGAAGTGAGGCGAAGCAAGGGGCGTCTCCATGTCTATTGAACAGACTTGATGGGCAAGACTTTCTCATATTTATCAGCTACTGAAACACACATGGATTAAGACTCTGAATTTACTACAGTTCTAAACACCCAGTCGAAAAGACCTGAGTTAATGCCCCATCAGATTTTTAAGTACATGAGTCAGGACAGTCAGAGTTAAGGTTCTTAAAGCATGCCTACTGTGTCTTCTTACATGTGTGGATTGCAATAAGGTCTTTCATTATGTGACCATCCTGGATGCAAATTAAAATAAAAATACTTTGCATTTTTGTAGGTTTTTTTGCACAAAGATAACCAAGTGCATTACAAAAGGTGGTGAAGTACCATTATCCTTTCTGAGTGGCTCTAGACACTGGCCCAGGGAGGTTAAAGGCAAGGCTGTGCCATTTCTGTGCAGCACTGCATTGAGGTGAAGCTTCCTTCCTGAGCTTCCTGCTTTAGAGTTGGGTGTGTACGTTTGGACATGGAACTACTAGGATGGTGCAGCTTTCATGCTCCCAGGGTGTGCATGGCCTGTTTCATGGAGTGGGGAGGCAAAAATCTGATCTCCCCCCCTTTTTGAATGGTTTGTGCCCATATGGAATGCAAATGTAATGTTGACAGGAGGAACCAAACCTGGGACTCTGGAGTTTAGTGCATGAGTCTCTACTTCTTGAACTAAAAACCAGCTGGCTCTCAGCTAAGGCTGTGGAGTAAACTCATTCTTTCTCTCTGTAAGTGCACTAAGTGCCACTAGATGGGACAGTGAATCCTACCTAGCAAGTGTGTGGATTACACAAGGACTGTGCTGAGTACAGGAAAGGGAACCCACGCAGATGCCAATCACAGTCTTATCCATGGCTTGCCCATGGTCTCACAGTGAGACCATAAGAGAAAATCACCTAGCAGTCTGGACTCCCAGAACCCTCACCATTAGCTATATAGTGTATGGATGATTTATTACTTATCTAGCACATTAGATTTACCTGGTGCCTAATGACTCAAAGGAATGGTCAAGGGCCAGTTCATGATCTCAACTGAACCACTGCAAATGCAGCATTTCGCTGGCTTCAGTGAACTTACTGTGAACTTATACTGCTGTTAGTGAGATCACGGTGGGAATTGGTGATATCTTCCCTTACCATGTAGGGGCCTTCCCTTGCAATCTGAGGTTCTTATTTAATTCCTACTGAGTTCTGGAAGTTGTTTTTCAGACTGAGCAAGAACCCCATATCCCACCCATGCCTCTACCAGCCAGTATAAACAGTAAAATTCCTTGCTACTTTTGGTTTATCTTTGTGTCAACTAAATAAAACACAGAGTTAAAGATCTCTTCCAGACAAATAATAAATGGCTTCCCAAGATGTGAACTCTAATTCCTTCTATTGATTTCAACATGATCATATTCAGGCCCATTTGCAGGGAGGGTGCAAAGTGCGCGAAAGCACCCCTGGTGGTCCCTCAATTAAGCATGCTCTGGCCAGCTGGGGGAAGGCAGGAGTGGCTTCTCCCTCCCCCATGCTCTGGCTAGTGGGGGAAGGCTAGGGTTGATTCCCCTGATTCTTGGGGGGCCATGGAAGTTGCATTTCCACCCTTGAGGTCCATGTTTATAAAAAAGCACACACACACACCGAAATTCCTGTGTATAGGCCTGATATTAATGTGTGGGCTAACAACAACTGGAAAACAGCCGTGAATTCTGGAAGTCTGAGCAGCTTCCGAATGATAGGAAAATGCTTAGCACCTTTTGCAAAACGAAGGCAATCTTTGATCTAACATCCTGCATCAGTTGGTGTCTGGGAACTAAATCTGTTTCCTAGAAAAACTAAATCACCATGACATCACAAAATGCAAAATGTTAGCTGCAGCGGACCTTCTACCTGATCCTACTCTATAATCTTAACTCTGCCTCCTAAAGCTGGTAATGACCACTAGGAATCAATTTTAAGCATGCGTCAGTATGGGCTGCTCCTCGATAAGCAGAGATGATGACTATGCCACTTTCTGGGTTGTGACCCATCATTTGCAAGCTTTTATTTACACCCCTAACTCATTGTAGGGATTTCCCCCCTAAAAGCTCTGCTCTAGTTCAAATAAGAATACATTCAGGAAAAGTCTTGTGGCCTGTTATCCAGGAAAGCAGAATTAGCTCTGGGACCCTCCCATATAAAGCATCCCATTAAACAGCCCCTTAGCCCAAGCGCCGTGAGCCCAAGTCAGCTGTGTTGGCCCACCATGGGTTTTAAATGGCAGTGCAGATGTAACCTCTCCCTCAATATTGGGAAGACCAAAGTGTTCTATCAACCTGCTTCAGGCCTGGCACATGACTCACCACAAATCGCCATTGAGGGTCAGACTTTGGAGATAGTTGAGCACTTTTGCTACCTCAGTAGCCAACTTTCTCAAAATGACAACACTGACAGTGAGGCCTAACACATGATCCGGTGTGCCAGTGCTTCCTTTAGGATGGGTCTAACATGTTTTCATAGACTGTGGCCTATGGCAGGCCACCAAGATCCAGGTCTACAAGACATTTCCTGCCATGCTCCTTTATAGATGTGAAACCTGGGGGTATATCTAGACTACATGGCTCTGTCGATGGAGCCATGTAGTCTAGACATACCCTGGGTGACCTATTGATAGTGCCTCAGGAGTGTGGAAAGGTACCACTAACAATGGCTCCAAAAGATCCTTAATGTCAAGTGGCAAATTTGCAGCATTAACAGCAGCATCCTCAATGAAGCTAATGTCTCCGGCACTGAAGCAATGATCCTCATGCACCAACTCTGCAGGTCGGCTGAACATTGAATGCAGATACCAGAATCTCACCTCTGCTCTGAGCTCACCCATGGTCAGAGATCCCATAGTGGTCAGTGGAAATGCTACTAAGACCCAGTGAAAGCATCTCTGAAGAAAACTGATGTGGACATCACAAACTGGAAAGAGCAAGCCACTAACTGACCCCAATGGTGCCATGTCCTCTATCAGGCAGTGGCCCATTTTAAGGAGAAGCGCTTTGCCCTCACAGCTGAAAAGAGAGAGAGAAGGAAGGAAAAAATAAACAACTTTCTCCCAGCACGCAGCTGGCCTGCCACAAAATGTCTGTACCTACGTCAGGCCGGCTTGTGGTTCCATGATTGGACTCCTGAGTCACCTCATATGTAAATCTGTTGTAGCGATCATCCTCGTATTGAGGGATTGCCAAAGAATGATGAATGAGACATACCCGAAGTTTGACTAATGTTTGCCTTAATGAAGACAAGGTGTAGTAGTTTCTCCTACAGCACTTGTTCTCTGTTTCTACTATGCACAGTATTATCTGGAAGGTTAGAGTGCTATGGTATCTGTCAGGCGCAGGTTAGGGTGACTCTCAAGGAGGCCAGAGTTAAGGTGGTGGGCTGGGGATGCTGTGTACCCCTTCCTATTTCCTGATCTCTATAGGGGTGTGTCTGGACTACAGAGTTTTGTCGACAAAAGTGGACTTTTGTCGACAAAACTATACCTGCGTCCACACTACCGCTGAGTTCTGTCGACATAACGTCGACAGAACTCAGCAGTTTTGTCGACGTATGTAAACCTCATTTTACGAGGAATAACACTTTCTGTCGACAGAGTTTCTGTCGACAGAAGGTGTTATTGAATGGAAACTGTCCTTTGCGTCCAGACTACCATGTCGACAAAAGCAGCTTGCTTTGTCGACAGAACTCAATGTAGTCTGGATGCGCTTTGTCGACAGAAGCCTGTAGTCTAGACGTACCCTAGATGTTTAGAGTTGGAAATGACCTAATAGGAGCTAAACCCTGCCTCCTGGAGGCTGTGCCTATGAAAGCTCATGATCCCATCTACATGTTTTATTAGTCTTTAAAGTGCTACCAGACTACTTGTTGTTTTCTAAGTTTTTCCTGCTTCCTGGAGTCAGACATGTAATTCCATGCTTACAATAGAAGTACTATCTGAAAGGATGCATCCCAGTGTCATCCAGAACATTTGTGCACCAAGACTGCTCCCTGTAGTACTCTGGTGGGAGTCAGTCCAGAGTTGGTAACATCTCTAGGGTAACAAATCCCATTATTTCAAAATGCCTCCAGTGCCTTGGCTGCATTCTTCACCAACTACCACTTCTTCCTGTTATTGCAAGTTATTACTCATTGAACTGCTTTAGCCACACTTCTTCCCACTCTTAAAATTCACTCCACAGATGCTTGTCGACAGTAATCTTCTCCCATTGGGTCTGATCCTGGAAGCATAACAGCACCTACAGCTCCCAGGGACTTATGGAGGAGCGGAGAGAGCTCAGCACTATGCAGGATCCAGTTTTGGAGGAGGAGTCCAATGCTGCTCTCACTGAAGTCAATGACCAAAATCCCATTGACTTCAATTGTATAAGATCACATGTTTTGGGTCAAATTCTGCTCTCCCATACACCCACGTAACCTCATTGAAGTCAATAGAGTTGAATGCATGCAGGCTACAACACAATTTGTCATTTTCATTTTGTAGCTTTTAAAACTATGGAACAGTCCATCTGGATATTTCCTTCTGCTCCAACTGAAGTATGCAATTTAAGGCCCAACTTGGCAAAGCAGGACAGCGCTTTCCACATG